TTTACAATCTTTTCTTACTATCTGTCATTTACAATTTCAAGATGGCGATGAAATGTTGCAAGTTATTCTGTTTAGCNAACCTCCTCTTACACGGAACATTTTTCATAGCCACTTTTACTTTGTGTAGTTAAGGCCCGAATTCATAGTCGTCTCTCAGATCTCAGATCTCAGATCTCAAGAGAGAGAGAAAGAGAGAGAGAAAAAGAGAGGGAAAGAGATGAGATGAGATCTGAGATCTGAGAGACGACTATGAATTCGGGCCTAAGTCTCCTTATTCTTACTTCGTGGTTCCTTCCGACGCGGACGCGCAATGCGTGCTCGCTTTCTCGACGGTTCGACAACAGAAACGCTGGCGAATGTCAGCAGAAAGAAAGGAGGACGTAGAGAGAAGAGTGGGAGGAGAGAGAAAAGCGAGAGACAGGTAGACAAGAGAGAAAAACACGGAACGGGGAAGTGGCGAGGTGAGGAGTATTATCGATTCGCCGGGGCTCACGAGTTAACGGTTTGTTTACACGAGCGAACTCGGCCGCGGGGACAGACGGGCGTCTCGGCGTCGCGGTGGGGTGGACACGATCGCAGCGGGGCGACGGGACAGGCAAACCGCGCGCGCGCGCATGCGCCGCCCGATCAAAACAATAATAACAGAGTAGAAGATTCATGGTTGGCAGACGAACGAGTGACCGCTCGCTGTGCGCTCCACGAACGCTCGTCGAGAGGCCTGCTTGTCGCAGACTCCGCTTCGTGCGTGTGTCACGACGGCTACGAGTCCGTCGTCGTCGTCGTCCGTCGTGTCGTTGTAAACAAAAGGGGAAGGAAAGCTCTCCCTCCCATCCAAGAGACATTTAACGGCGTGTTCGCACTGCGTGTGTGGCTTTTGTGTGTGTATATACGTATACGCGTGTATGTGTACATAATTTCCACATACTTGCCAAGTGGTACGCCTCTCGGTTTCGCGAAAACAAGTTGCCTGGGATTGTTGTTCTCTCGGAGCGGAATTTTGTATGGTAGAGCGCGACGGAACGAGAGGAAAGTTCCTACTTGATTGTTGTTTAAATTGAAATTGTGCGAGCGCAACACACAAGTACTTTCTAAAGCCTCTCGGTGAGGAGAGAAGTTTAACGTCGGTCGGGAACAACAAGTTGAAGCGTGAGAGGATCGCGGAATTATATATATATATATATATAAAGACTACCTCGAGACAAGGAAGAGAGAGAAAGAAAAAGTAGTGAGAGAGATTGGAGAGCGTGTATCAGACCGATACTTCACACTCGAAAGGTGAAGAGTCCCCGTCTCCTCTTCTCGTCGCTTCAAATCACATCGCACGCGCTCTCTCTCTCTCTCTCTCTCCCAGTGCGTTACCTCATCGCGGCGGAGGCAGTGCGTGTGTAACGACCGTGTTGTGCGCGCGTTGTGCAACTCGCTGCTGATTCTCATCGCGACAGAGAACGCGAGGAGATTCGCGGATATACCGTGCGAATTCGATCAGCTTGAAAACAAAAACAACGTGCCGCTCGTGCATAGTGGCACTTGTACGTTTTATATGTGTGTGTGTGTGCGTGCGTATATACGCGAGAGAGCTCGTGTAACTTGTACGTGCACACAGAGAGAGAGAGAGACTACACACAGTGTTCGTCGCGCGCGTTGTGTGTCAGTGTGCGTTTGTTTATGCGCGTAGATTAGCCGCACGCTCGTACTCGCGCGGCGTTTCATTCAACAGTCGAGGCCAGTCCACGCTTCGACGCGCGACGATTCTCGCGTCTCGTTGTCATTTCGAAAGCGAGCCGTTGAAGAGCCAGTGAGAGCCGCGAGTGTGTGTTGTCGCACAACGAAACGACGAGCATATCGCGCTATATAGGGGCTCGCGCGCGTATTTACCGAGTGAATCACGCGCGTCCTGTCTGATTACGCGCTCGGCGCGCCTCTTTAGCGTCCGTGTCGCACCGGATATACAACGCGACGCGTGTATATAAACGTTTGTATTTATTATTGTTGACGTGTCACCGGCTGCGTCAGACGAGAACGGGAATACGGTTGGAAACGACCCGTCGTGAGAAAGAAAAAACGCATCTAGTACACACACAAAGTGCGATTCTCGATATAAAAGAGAAAAAAAAACAATCTTTTAGTTAAAAACCTTTTCTATTTGAGACTTTCCGCAACTTATTCTAATGTGTTTTCTCGGGTTTTCCTTCGTCCGTTTATCGGTGACGGTGCGTCAATAGTATACACGTCACTCGGGTCAACACCGATACGAGTGAGGGAGACGGCAGATCCCCCGTCGAGCGCTAGAAAGAGACGGGACAACAACAGAGATCGGTGGGAAGCCGCCAAGGCCTCAGTAGTCTGTACTCGTTAGCGGACGTAGCATCGGCGTTTCTTCGGAGCGTGAACTATAACTAGTGAGAAAGCATCGAGGATGCCGAGTGCCGAGGAGACGACGTATCTGATCGGTGTGATGCCAGACGGTGCGGCACAGGCGGACGCGTTTCTCACACGCGATGTCGATCTGCTCGTGTCGCAGATCAAGGAGAATCTGCGGCTGTCCAGCCTGAAGGCCAAGTCCAGCGTCAGCCACAAGAACAACCGACCATCCCCGTACCGGGTGCCGGCGCGTTCCTGGGCAGACCCGGCTGCCGGGTGCGAGGTCTGCGGTCTGCGTCCGAGCGCCCAGCAACACACTCAACAGCAGCAGCAACAACAACACGTGACAACGACCGGTCATCATCATCACCATCATCATCACCACTACCACCAACACCATCACCACTATCATCATAACTACCTGAAGAGAAACGAGAGAAACAACAGAATGGACGACGATCCGTACGAAGTGCTGCAGGAGTTGCTGCGCGAGGGTGGACTCATCAAGGAGGCGGTGAAGAGGTTACAGGCAAATCTCGACGAGCTCTCGAGCTCCGAAATGGACGAGGACGAGGAGGTAGAAGATGAGGACGACGAGCGGCGGTCCAGCGGATCCTGTTACCGCCGGAAGCCGTATTTCTACGACTCCGAGGACGAGCCGTTGCCGCCTATGTACGATCCTCTGGAACTGTGAGGTGCGCGGCCGGTGGTGTCCGGGAGAGAGAGATACTCTTCTCGGAATAATTCCTCATTTCCGTAGGTGGAAAATTTCTCACCGCGACTCTTCCGTCCCTCCTTTTCGGGAGGAAATATATCTACCCGCATGGGGATCGCCGCGTCGGATATTTCCTTTGTCCCTTTGTGCGGCTTTATATTGGGAACCAAGTGCTATTCCGAACGTCATCCCCGCAAGGGTTTCTTCGAGGGAGAAATAATAACAAAAGAGGATATCCCGTGTACAAAACACGTTTCGTCCATTTTCTCGGAAGAGAGCATGTGGGAGTTACGACGACGACGACGAAGAAGAAGAAAAAGAAGAAGAAAACGACGACGATGATGATGATAATAATGATGGCGTGCGTGTGTGTTAGTGTGTAAGAAACGCGCGCGCACGCCCGCAGCACAATTAGGCGAGAACTCGCCTTACATGGCCGTGTTTGTAAATACGCGTTGTGTGTTGTGTCGGCGCTGCGCGCCGAGCTCGGGCTTCGTAATGCCTCGGTCGAGATCGCCGTCGAGTATCGACGCTCGCGAGGAAGCCTACGTGGAAGACTTATGGCCGCGCGCGCGCGCGCGCGTCATCGACGCGCTCCAGATGCGAGATGTTCCTTTCTCCGTGTATATATATACGCGTTTTAATTCAATCCTACCGATACTTCTGTACGTGTGTCAACAATATTTGTCTGTACCTCAACATTCAACATATCGCTGGCGATAACTTTATACGTATAGAGATAATCCGCAATATCATATAGATATGTAAACGTTTCTTTCTTTCAAATCGGTGTTTATCGGCATCTGTGGAACACTCGCTGTCGATAATCGCGAAGCTGGTAAAATTTTGTTTATTTTATTTATTATTTTTTTTTTATATATATATTAGACGATATCGCGTCATATCAGTTTCTTAATACGGATTTCGCATCACGATTTGATAATGATTATTAAGTATTGGCAAATATCGTGTGTTATCACATGCAGCGTTGCGGTACAGGTAACTCTTTGTTGACGTAAGCTCTCATACACGTGTGCGTGCGATGATTAACACTTCAAATATCAAGGAAATTACTAATGAAGACTTTGAAATATGTAAACAGATAAGTAAAGCTCAAAAATATTGCTTCTAGAATCGTGCGTCTTATTTACTAAAAAAAAAAAAAAAAGAGTTAGTCAATTAAAAAATAGTTTTTAACGAAACGTTTAGACTTTAAAGAAGTGCGACATCAGTATATTAGTTACACGTTAACAAGTGACAATGATGAAATCAATTACTTATGTCTTTTGTCATATTTGAAGAGTTAATTACGTCACACACATCGTATTCGTAACATATTATTTAGATTGCTTTGCGCCGGAAGTCTGTAATTATGAGAGTCTGTGTTAATGTCCTCGCGTTTGTCACGATCTCAAAACCGAAACAAAAACAAACGATTAGGGCGACCGGATAAGTTGTGTAATTTTTCTTTATTTCGTCATGCACACCCGCGCGCGCGCGTGTGTGTGTATATGTATGTATGTATGTTTACTTTGTGACTTCGAAGTTTGTTTGCGTGGTGTGGCGCGTAATTTGTAGGCTAAACACCTTCAGACGGAAGATAATGTTTATTATATTAGCAATATTTCTTGGTCTCGGTAAAACATTTGCAATACCATAATTTTTGCAGATAACGCGAGTACAACAGTTTTCGTCCGTGTTTTGTCGAGTGTTCTTATAGCGTGAGCTGGCACACGGTTTATGTGAGAATTGCTGATAATCCGGCTGCCTTTCTGGAAAGTTAGCAGCAACCTTTGGTCGCGATTTACATCAATTTACATCGGTAAATGCTCGTGTGACGTAAACTCTCATGTGGAGACGTGTATACTATAAATAGAGCCCTTCCGTTAAAGAAATCGAGACACCGCCACCCGCAAAGAAACTTCGAGTTCACACGGCGCGACGACGCGAAGGCGCGAGGAGAAAAGCGATCTTGAGACGTGTTACGAGATAGCAACCAAGAGCTCTGCGTTTTAAACGAACCAAGTATTAACGAGAGAGAGTTTGAGAAGAAAGAAATGCACAAACAATAGAAAATTGTAAAAAAAAAACCGCAATGAGAGAATACAGAGCTGAAACGAAGGACAATCTGTAAGACAAATTGATTACACAAGTATCGACGAAAATGCCCTATCGGAGACAGGATTCGGTTCTGTCCTAAAATTACACGGTCCAATTTGTGTGCGAGAGTAAACCCGCACCCGCGATCGATCAACGACTATCAATGCCTTTGTGTGGCGGAAGTATTAGGGACGCAAATTACAATGTGAGAAAGAAAGAGAAAAAAGTGAGAGACAAACAGAAATAAAAAGAAAGACACACCACATAGACACGAACACGGTGATCTCATTTATTTTTTCATGATGCTCGCGACAAACGGACTAGCCGCGATCGACGCGAGACCGAGATCATTGTTAGTTTAGGTTTAGGCTCGGTTTAGTTCCCGATTACAATTGCGCCCTTATAAACCTGAAGGGTACAAATTCGGTGAGAGAGCGAAGAATAACAAAAAATACAAAAAAATACAAAAAAACAAAAAACAAAAAAAAACAAGAATGTGAAGAGACGTTCTTCGAGAATACTTCGTGAAGAAGAATCGACCTGGGGATTCGTTATTCACACTAGGAGTAGAGATTTCGAAGCCTAGTCGAGAGAAAAAATAATTTCATATATATATATTATATATATATATATATCTATTTGTAAAAGTTGTATATCTCGAGACAAAATTGAATAGCGATTGATATTCGTAAACGGAGCTTTCAAAGACTGTTAACGATTTCGAAATATAAAAGATGAAAAAACAATAATAAAAAAAAAAAAAAAAAAAAAAAAATGCAAAATCTCTACGGGATTTCGATCGTTTAGGATATAAAATTATCTGGCGCGTTAGAGAGTATTAACGTCGAGGTGTGGAAGACGTCGAAGAAGCTGTGTAGATAATTTCGTCCACGTTTCGGAAAAGTCGGTGAGAGAATGAGAAAGAAAGAGAGAGAAAGAGAGAATAGGACACTCTCGGGACGGGGGAAAAACAAAGCAGGCTGTAGAACGCAAAACGTGGATCTGTATTATAATAACGATGTATAGCTTTATGTCTCTTCTCTGTGCATGTTTTAGTGCATAGTTATACTTATCGCTATCGATCGCTAGGCGGAGGACATACACTCCCCTCCCCTGTGTTGATGTTACGTACACCTCATCATACATGTGTAAGATCATTGTACGCGTGCATTGTGCGACCTGACGGGATATCCTATTGTCACGTGATTCAACAACGCTCGTACACAACCGAGGATAAGAGGAGGCGAAATCTATCCGTAATAAAAGACCGCTACGGGTCAACTGTGACGTCACGACGTAATTATCGATGAAGGTTGTTACTCCTCGTAACACATTCCCCACCAACGCGCGTCGCCAGCTACCTTATATTAATATTCGTCAGCAAAAACCGCCGGGGATGAGTTTTACTTCCAAACCTTTGGCGAGAATCAGTTTCGACGGAGCGCGCTTCGATTATTCCCGGGAGCGCGTGACGTCACAAATGCGGCGTCCGAGATTTTATTAGGAATGTATAAATGTGTATATTGTGTGAGTGTAGGGAAGAGAGAGAAAGAGGGTGGTTTATAAGAGGTAGAATGCGGTCGCGACACACGATGACGCAATAAAACGAGACACGATTTGTATGTATGTACATGTACACAGCGATACAAAGCGAGGAAGATAAGCGCGAGAATCGATGGCGGCGGTTTCTCGCGCGCGCTGGCTTTCCGACTATGTCAGGCCGCTCTATTTGACTAATTAGATAAGCTAGTAATTAGTAATAAACACACATTGCGAATATTACCTGCGAGCGGAGCAAACGAATTGCGTCGAGAATTCCATAGTTCTGATAGGAGGAAAATGACGACGCTTTGTGCGTCATCTGTGCGAATGCGTGGCTGCGTGAGAGAGTTGCGTTACCTTTTTTTCCCCTTCCCCCCCTTCCTTTTTTTGTACATTGAAAGAGTGTGAACGCAAACCTTTTATTCTTTTTTTTTTTTTTTAAGTTCGTTAAAGATCAGTGCATTATGGAAAACTATATCTTGTTGTGATCGTTGGGCTCGCATGTCCGACATAGTCTTAATTATGAAATAAAGAAGTTCAAAGTTTCAAAGATGCAGAAATGTGTGTGTGTGTATACTTACGTTACTGCCGTTCCAAGCGCTGCCGCGCGAAAACTTTCCACCGACCCATCCGCTTCTTCCTCTTCGTCTATCTCTCGTTCCCTCACTGTCATCAAACGTCGGCATCAAACGGTTCTGCTTGGTGTTCTGATGACGAAGCGTGCTACAAATACATCACCGAGCCGCTAATATTATACAGGATGTCTTGTTATCATTATTTTCTTTCTTCACAACCACAGTCCGCACTTAGCGATAATTTGAAGATTAATTGTGAAGTAAACTGTTTGATAGAAAAAAAATGAAATATGTAAACAAGACTAGAGACGTGTGTAAAGTTTTATTTCCGGATTGATTTTGAAGTTGATCTTATCTTTGATGAAAATCAAATTTTATCTTGATGAAAATTTAATTTTTTTGTTCTTTTCGAAAGACGTTTGTTTGACGTATTATTTCAATTTAGCATATTACAAGCTTCCGTGAAATTTGCCGTGGGACAACACTGACTCATGTTTCGTCAAACAGAAAGTCATTACTGGGAACAGCATTGCAGTAACGGGACACCCTATATAACCGGCAGTTCACTGGCCTTCTCTGATCGTTGGCGCGTATTGAAGCTGCTTGCCGTGCCAGCTTCTAGAAATTTGCTTTCGGCCTTACACGTCGGTCGACCTATCTCGGAGCTGATAATAAGTAACTGCAAAACGCCGCGATAAAAGGTAATGCTACTACTGTTATGTAAAACCGCAGTATATCCTGCAATTTTCCACATCGGGGTTTTGACATCCTGGGTGTATGTGCCGCGCGTACATATTTTTTAAAGTCCACATGCTGGTTCTCTAGCGGTCTTTCGATTTTTTTTTTTTGTTTTTTCAACACAGCAAAATCAAACTAAAAAAGTTTGACGTTTTGTTAACGCGCAGCGAGAAAACTAGTAGAGTGGGTGTCATTTCGTAAAGCAATTTTTGCGAAAGCGTTGACGATAATAATGACTGTAATAATACAGAAGGAAATTACGGTCATTAAAGGTCCTGACGGACGTGTAGAACGAAATTGGCGCGTTTTTTTTACGAGGCACTTTGTTCGACGTCTCTGACCTGAAACCGACGGCTTGAGACAGAAAGGAAAGAAAGGGTCGGTAGTCAGTCGAGTTTCAGGAAGGCAGAGGTCATTTAATAATACACCGATTTCAAAAATTAACGCTCGCTTCGAAAACGCAACCGCCTCGCCGGTTCATAACGCAGTTGCAGTTGTTTACCGCGTTGCGTAATATAAACACAATGTGGTTTGTAGATGCATTTAAAAGAGCAGAAACTTTTTCTTTCTCAGAAAGAACTTTTCAATTTATCAGCGAACTCTCGTACAGACGAGTTTGTTCAATCTGTGTCCGTTGATTTTTTCGCGCGACGTTAGACCGAGAGACGCATCAACATCTGCTTACTCTACATTTTATCTTTCCGATAATTTTGTGGCTTTAATGAAATTTAATTTCAATTTTGTTTTTCTTCGAGTGATTTATAAGTTAGAACTATATATATAGCTACATGCTTATTGAATAACAAATTGTATATGACGCGAGTTTATTTATTTATCATTTCAAGGCGAACACAATCCTATTTCTATGCAAAACAGATATGGAAGCGCATGAAAAAAATATAAAGAAAAATTAAATTACATTTTAATAACGTAACAGTTATACTGTTCGATAACATCGTAAATCGCAAACACGATTTTATTTGCAACGAGAAGAATAAATGTCACGGGACGAGCGAACTCGGCCCGCAGAAAAGTCAAATGTCATCGTCGTGAGATCGCTATACGAAAGCGTATAGATTGTAGAAGCCGAGGAGTTGGTTTTGTTTGCGCGCGAGTCACCAGTTTGTCGCCTGGGATTTTGGATCGAATGACTGGCGCAATTTTTGCGTTTGTGAAACTTCCCTCGCGTGAGATCGTCGAGTATACATCAAGTTGCGGTGCGGACAAATAAAACGTCATCTCTTACTCGGATACTCAACGTTTCTCTCTTTCTCTCTCTCTCTCTCTCACCGCATGCGGCTTAGATTACGAGATCTTAGCTAACGAGGCGACCTGTTTTCGTCAGAAGACAAATTTGTTGCAACGTGCCGCGCCGATACGCTGGTGTTTCTTACTTCTTATGCAATTAGACTTTCCCGCGAGTTAATCCTATTTAGTTGCTGCCGCTGCTTGCTTTTATCGCGTAACCGAAGCAATCAATGGGCGCGCACGTGTGTGTTACGCGCGCGCGTCGCGAAAATAAATCGTCGCGCGGAAAACTTGGCGCAGCTTGACCTAATTCAAGAACGCCCATTTATACGTTTGTCTAACATCTGGCCGTCGTGGTAGCCGCACGGGGTATTTGTGACATAGATGTTAATTTTATATTCATAGAAATATACGCGCGCGCGTATCAGCCGCGGTATGCAAATCTCTAATAATAACGCGGAGAAAATGTCTGAAATTTATTTTACATACAGGGGAAAACCGAGTGAAATTCTGCGCTTCTTATATATCTGCCACTCGTATATATTTCTGCGCATTGAGTATGCGTGGTGGTGCATTTTTAACCTCACGTTTCGAGTTATCTCTCTTTTTTATCAAATCGCATCGGATTCGCGAGATTCGGTCGCTGCGCAATTTTTCTCACCCGCGGCGCGATCGCCTGATTTCACGATAGAGTTTTTATATTAGTCTCCTCGAATCACAGTCTCCCGCGTATACTGCGACTGAATTTGCATTGATATGCAATTTGACAGATTCTTGAGAGATGAGACGCGCTCCGATGATCGAACTGCTTGGAGAGATCGACTGAAATCGATTTTTNTTTTTTTTTTTTTTTCATTACACGGAGTTTCCGGCGACCGATAAAAATAACACGCTGCGCGATATGATGCAAGACGCGCAATCAGTGACAAATATCTTCTCGCTCTACGTGCAGCAGAAATTAAATGTTTTTGATCTTATAATCAGTTTGTAATTAATTTAAGTGAAGTGACATTTCTTATCGCGTATCAATAAATAACTGGTCTTATATAATAAGACGTGTGTGTGTGTGTGTGTGTGTGTGTGTGTGTGACCGATCGCAAACGACCTTCAGACAAGGTCTTCGCCACTGTCGTCCGTAAACTGAGAATAGGATTCTCTCTATCATCGACTAGAATTCGAAAGAAAACCTTGCGCTATAATTGTACGCCAGACGGCGTCGCGTTTCACACCGTGATTTGTTTTTCTTTTACATCGCGATGTTTATTCTTCGAGAAGAAAAACTATCGTAAATTTACTAAACGCGTTATCGAATCTCGTGAGAGAGTTTCCGATTCTGATGAAATCGGATAATCAGAAAACGTAAAACAAGACAAATATACACATCTTCACGTGAATAAGTGACTCATCGTTATTCACTCTCGAGCGTCGTTTACTGTTCGAGAAATATCTGAACTAATGAACGTTACGTCACTTTCTAAACGCGTGAGATAAAACAAAAATTGACCTGCTCCTTATCGCGCAGATGTCACAATGTCACATTATTTTACTGACAAGCCGAGAAACTTGAAAGATACGTGTCTTATTTTTTTTTTTTTTTTTTATCAGTGTCCTTGCGAGGAGATGCGTGTTTTCTTTTTTTTTCTCGAACTGACCCACAAAACGAACAGATTCGATAGCATTTGTGCTCTCGTTCTCGCATCAGCTTGATTAGCGATAACGCCACGAGTCAACAATTCGAACGTCTAAGAAAGGACATATATGTATATGTATATACATCAGACCTTGTCCGCGCGTTGACACAGATCCGACGCGTGATATGGAAAGACGCGCGAGCGACCCTAATTCGATGTTGCAAAAGACACAACACACTTAAATACGTAAGTACGTGCGTGCAATGAAACACGCGCTCGTCGAAATGCACGTTGCGAGATTAGCCTTCCGGTAATCCGTGGGTGTAAACAGGAAAATTAGTTCTAACTAAATAGAGGAATGTGAAGTTTTCTTACTCAAATCGAAAAAAAAAAAAAAAAAACAAGAGATACTCTAATCTGATTAGATTAGATAATCTAATCTTTATTTACGTGAGTTTTATGTAATTGTTTGTATGTATCTTTGGTTGAAAATACATTTGTACGCAATAATGTCGACAAGACCAGCGGATTGCGAAAAGACTCGTTGATTAAATACGTTATATAATAACCATATCGAGCTTTTTTTTTTTTACCGAAAACGAGTTATATCCGACAATACAGAAGTTTGTTGATGATGCCATTTAAAAATCGGTAAACAACAACGCGGGCGACTGACTGGCAGTGTTGGTAAACGTTACGTCAGAGCGTCATCGGCCGGCACGGCGCTTGAGCGCGCTTCGGTCGTCGTCGGCCGCGTTCGGCGTCTCGGCTGTTATCGGCCGCCGTCGAGTATCCTCGGCTACCGTCGGCTGTCGTGGCGCACGTGTGCATCCACATGACGCGGTCTCTTGTCAAGTTTATGGCGCATCAAGTCGAACAAAGTGATAACAAAGCTAGACAGTAAAGTCAGTTTTTCCAGTCAGATTTCGCAGTGTCCACCTGAACATCGTCGATCAGCGGTGAACACATTCGTCGTGGATCGTGGATCAAAGACAGCCGAAGAGCACTGTCACTGCTGTCATACTGTATGAGTAAACATGGCGGAGAATAATGACGTGGGCTCGTACGTATATATCTTGCAATGCACTTGTGTGCGCGATAATGTCGTTGTCCTTTGCGTAAATATTTATGCATTGTTGCTTGAAACCGATATATTTTCGGCGAGTTCGTTCGCGCAAACAAAAATTCAATCGATCCGTGCCGCGGGCATCATTGCAAGGTGCGTGACGTATCCGTCATTGCAAATGGAAGTATCTGTAGATACATATTTTTGTGATAAGAAAATCGATGTCGTGGAAATTACAATGGTTTCGAACACTTTTTCGTGACAATAGTACAACAAGCGTTAAAAAAATTTCCTGTGTGTTAAAATCGAAACAGTCGAATTATCAGATAAAATTATCGAGCAATCAATGTGTAATTAAACAGATAAAATTATCGAGCAATCAATGTGTATTGACTGATCGTCGTGAATGTCACTTGAAATTCATGTGTGAGATATATATATATATATATATATCACATGTATATCTGATATAATGACAATAATAGAACACGGTTTTGATCTGCTCGAAAAGTGAAGCGCGACACTCGTAGAAGTTATGTACATGTTGAAGTTATGAGAAGTAGCAAAGTAAAAAAAAATCTTATAATCTCAATTATTCAGACAATCAAAATCACACCTTGTTCTAATAATTGATACTGTAAGATTTTTTTTACTTCGCTACTTTGTAGTAGTAGAGAGTTGAAGAGAAAGAGAGAGAGAGAGAGAGAGAAATAGACAGAATGCGCTTTTTTTTTATCTGAACAAATTTTGAGGTTAGATACGCGGGAAATCAGATTAGAATCTTGTTTCTTGACCTTTGGACTGTCTGATAATAACGGGTTGTGTATAGGAGACTGTAAAAACGCAGCTTTAATCGCAACTTTGCGTTGTCAAAATAATTAACGGTTTTCTTGTTAATTGTTACACGTTCTGGGTCTTTCTCTCTTATGGAAAATGATATGTAAAATCAAATGTATATTTTTAACAGTTCGAGTGTGAGATATATGAAATTTATAGAGCGTGTTCAGTAATTCGTACAGCGAGACGTAACGTAAATATCAGAGAACCGACTTTAATCATTATTTCGATTTGTTACGTGTATTTTTATCGTTAGAGAAATAATTATAATTGGACGCTACGTATAGATAGCGTAGATAGACGCTATACTTATATAGCCAGTCGCATTTGTTATGACGTGTCTGCGTTCACGTGTCGCGACTTGACATGTCGCTCACGTGTCATCGTCTCTACTACGAAAGAAATGTGTTTCTTCGTGAAAAACCCGATTGCTCAAGCAGGTTTCTAGGTTGCCGCGAAACTTGCGTGTGGAATTAATGACGCGTTGTTGACGTTTTCATTGTTTCTAATTATACGCTGCGTCGATTTGTGACTACTTCACGCGCGAAGAAACTCTAATCTCTTTCTTTTAAAAATGCAACTTGACTTTTTCCATTGTTTCAAAGACAAACTTCGTGAATTTACTGTCGAACGTTTCGGCAATATCTTCGTATTGACTAAAATTTTTTAGCACTACATTCACTTGAGAAGAAAAAGAATAAAAATTTCTAAGTAAATTATATTTGCGGTAAGAACTTGAGAGTTGGTCTAAATTTGTTTGTAGTTTAAAAAAAATTTTTTTTTATATTGACGAGAGAAAATTTTTATAACAGAAATGTTCAAGTTCAAAGATTTTAAGCGCGGAAAGTTCTGGCCATATGTCGTTTCTCGCGATGATGTAATTGGGGTGGAACGAAGGTATTGTTTGTTTTTCTCTGCAGTTATCACGTGACATGCTATACATAGTATGTCGGTTACATCGCTAAAAAAAATCGGCTTTGATTGCAGACTCCGAATTCTTAGAATTCTCTCTTTTTTTTTTAAATACTCGTTAATATTTTTCAATGTTCACTCACTGCCATAATGTTACTACGTATATTCTTTTCGCGAATAAACAATATTATTGCATATTGATATAAGAATTGATGCAAAACTGTAAAATGGTTGCGACGTAACACACACGCACGCACATTGCGTCAAAAAGTAATATAATCTTTTTCGACGTCAGGTAATAAAATTTTTAACGTTTTTTTAAATTAGAAAAAAAAGAACATTTTACTAATTAAAATATTCTAAAAACTAATAACATTTATGAAACATTAAATTGAGTTGGTTATCAGGCTGGAAAGTTTTTTTTCACGCTTAAATATTATCAGCAAATAAAGATATTATCAGAGAATATTCTTGTATATATCACAGCACACGTGCGGTTTACTTTGCGTCAAAAAATTGCGATTAAACGCACACTTGACATCATGCTTTATTTATGTACAATAATATGTACAAAAATTAATCAGCTCGTGATGATAAGCGACTTGTGGTACTGAACACACTGTATTCCGAGAATGTTCTCAAGCAGAACTTTCCATAGCTCGCATGTTTTTACGGCAGCACATTTCATTTCACAAACACGAACTGACGGAAGTATATGCGAAAACTCAACTCAGAAAATGCCGATCGTGCATTTGACCTGCGATGCTTTCACTTCTTTCATAAACGAGAACGTGTACCGTTTTGTTTGATGTCAAATAACGGCGCGCGCTCTCTCTCTTTCTTCATCTCGCTCCAAATATTCAATCTTAAATTCGAGAACAGACTTATAAACTAATTAATCAGTTTGATAAACGTGCGCTTTTTATTTTTGTTCATTTGTGCGGTATAGCAGAAATGTAACATTTGACTCGCAGATACACATGTACGTACCATACGATATGAAGTATTACATTACTAGTCTAGTACTTTACAATGCTGACTGCCGTGCTCACTGCCAGGTTAAATATAATTTCCGAGTAGACGTTAAAAAGAGAGGAAAGAGAGAGGGAGTGAGAAAGAGAGCGACGCGCGATCCCGAGCAGCTAAATTAGTATACGGGTGGAAGTTTAGAGATGCCTCTTGAACGCGGTAGCGTCTACACGCTTGCGGTAGGAGGGAGCGGGACGGGATACAGAGAGGGGTTTAAATACAGCGTATACACATAACGTGCGTGTATCTCGTTAGCGCGTTCCAAGTTTCCTGTGTGCCGTCACGCGTTTCGTCTCGAGAATATAGCAGAACAAGAATTGTGTCAGTCAAGAGACGCGCGAGCCGTCCAATGACACGACTTAAATATAAACCGAATACATATATGCGAGGCCACATCATCTCGTTTTCTTCGTGTCTTTTTCTCTCTCTCTCTCTCTCTCTCTCTCTCTCTTCCCCTCTTCCTCTCTTCTACTGCCTCTCATGAGAATAGACATGTTTTGGGGTCTATTTATGTATATTTTATAATTACTAGCTACAGAATATTGGAAGTCGTCTTATCATATAGCTGTTTTATTATTAAATATGTATAAAAGTTATATTTATGTTTTTCTTATGTATGTGTTAGATTAAAGAAAAAATTGTTTTACTCGTGACTCGAAAAATTAAACAGAGACAGTAATAAAATAAGTTTTTATGAAATATTCTAATATATAACATTGGATATTCTAGAATCCGTTTAAATAACAAAAATTCTTGAAATGTTAAAATTAATTTATAAATTAAATTTATTTGAAGTTGTTTTACATCTAAATTTTTAATGTAGTTATATAAAATATATGTATGCATATAAAATATATGTAAATTATTGGTGAATTTCTGGACACGTGGCGACGATGTGTTTTATCATGATGTAACTTTAGTGAGTCATCTTACAATACATATGCTAAAAATGATGTTAAAGCTGTTGAAGATGTTGCGCTCGCGGCATCGATGAGTAAGAGCGATAAATGCAGCGGATCTACTTTCTTTTTAGAAAGTTCTAGCGATATTATCGGAAACACACAAAATAATTATTTACGTGCAGCGTTTCGTGACGTCTGACGCCATTCAGTGTCTATCAACGTTGTAGCGTTTTATTTACGCCGGTGATTTCTCCGATAATTCTGCGAAATTTCAAGCAACATTGCACCGTCAAAAGGTTCAAACGAAAAATTTGAAATATTTTTTATATTGTCATTTTTATTGGCGATCGGTTTTTTTAATCCCACGTGGTAACACGCTGTTTATTAACACAAAAATTCATAATTTCAGAAACTTCGAAGAAAAGGGACCATATTTCTGGCGGTCCGGAAAAACGTTAAAAGTGCCTATGACACTCTTTGCAAACAATCGCAAGCGACTCGTCGAGCGACTTGTCGAACGAATTGAAGAGAGCGATATTTCTCTCTCCGAGACTTTCGTCCTTTTGCAGGGTGGCGAAGAAATTCCTTTTAATGACACGGACGTATCTTGGCCCTTTCGACAGGTATTTTCCTCAATACTGTGCTTTTCAATATCGGATGAATGAAATGAGAAATATACAATACAATCGAATCCAGCTGTTCAAAACTTCTAATGTAAGATCTAAGAATAATATTTATAGTTCGAGATTGTATATTTAATACCGTGTTAAGTTCGTCCTAAGATGTTGTATGGATCGCTGTCTCATTGGCTACGAACCCATCTGAAGATAAACTTTAGAAAGATTTAACGCTCGTGAAATTGTCAACAGAAATATAAGGCCGATACGAGCCATTCGCAGAATGTTTGTGCGGAAACTAAGCGTGTACATATATATATATATATACATGTAACGAACTATACTTATAAATTTTTACAAGTATTTTTTGAATTGAAAATCTCAATTCTTAAAATCATACGGGATGCTAGATTTGCTAAATTTATAAGTATAGTTCGTTACATGTATATATATATATATATGTACACGCTTAGTTTCCGCACAAACATTCTGCGAATGGCTCGTATCGGCCTTATATTTCTGTTGATAAACTTTAGACTTTGCATTGCCTTCTTCCGTTTTATTTAGACTTTGTAGTTTGAATATAAATACAGAGTTTCAATAGTCGGTGAAGTATTATTGGAAAGAACTTTATCTTGTACGCATGCTCTTAAAAAAATATATGTTAGACTAAAAAGAGAGCCAAGTTTGTGTGCGATCGCAATAGAAGAAGAAAATTCCAAAGATTTAGTCGCGTTAACTTCTACAACTATTTTTATCACGTATCTCTGTGGAGTAACAATCGAAAAGACAATTGAACTCTCAAGATGACTCGATACGCGTGATCGTAAATCCAGAGAGAGTAGAACTGTTAGGTCTGTCTCCGTACGACAGAATTTATTGAATTTATTACGATGAGAGATGGGACTAAAAAAAGCTGCGCAAGACACGATTGCAAATTCAATTCATCAGCGACAAGTTGTTTATCGCCAAACGAAGGTTACTGGTACGTACCGGGTATTGGCAAATTAGTCAGCGATAAGAACGATACGATAACTGCGCATATTGTGGCAGTTTATGGCGCGCTGATGATGATAATATGATAAAACAATTCGTTCGCTTTATCAAATAAAAATATATTTAAATAACATATTGTATAAGACGACAGCTAAAGAGGAAGTCTAAAAAAAAAACAAAAAATACGTGATAATAAAATTAACGGCGTTATTTTGTAGTTTTCTTTTTGCATCAACTTAGTTGCTATTTTTAGCAGAAGTTTATTCGTGTGCTAGCTGAGTTATCAGAGAGATGTGATTTTTTTTGTGTGAGATGTGAATACCAAATATCATTATCTGCGGGTTTTATCGCGCGATAATGTTGAAACGTTTTCTTACGAAACAAAGTTGCGTGTAGTGAAGCTCGCATTGTCTTCTAATCTGGTAGTTTACACTAAGATCTCTTAAATTTTTTAGTTTCTTCGTGATAAAACAGAAACTCTCCGATTAGAGAATTACGGAATTTTAACGTAAAAAGGTGTAACATTTTTTTCACGTCTGGGGGCGATTGATAAATATCCGAAACGACGCGCAGACAGTTGTCGTTGACTAGTTTCTATTCTTCAGAAAAACAAATGACAAACGCTGGCTCGTTATCGCACATAGTGCTTGTGTGACAGCTCGCCAAACTACAGCCATTCGCGACACCGATGATTTCATTGTTGCTCGAAAATTTATTTCCACCGAGTCATTTTTGTTTTTCAAATTCGAAAATAAATAGAAGTCGCACAAGACCATAGCCGAGGCGGATAAGACAAATGAGGCAGCAGCTAAACTTGTAAATTTTTGCCATTTCAACAGTTGAAATGTGAGCGGTGTAAAAAATTCTTGATAACGTCTGCTTTAACGACGAGTTTTGTCATACAAACGCAACAATAATGAGCCAACGTTTGAAAAGAAAAACTGTTTGTTTTTCTAAAGAATAAAAGTTGTCAACGACAACAGCAATGTGACACTACTGCACTGTCTGTTGCTTTGTTTCAAAACTAGCAGATAAAAATGGGACGGAAATAACGAGTTGAATTCTGTTTAAAAGATTTTTTTTTTTAAAGAAAAATCTCACTTTTCCATTCTGGACTATTCTGGTGGAAATGATGTTCCGCGGTATTAACGTCGCCGGTTAAAACACGACAAAAAGGTCTCACGTCAAAGCCCTCGGGTCGCCGAAAATCGACGCGCAAACGAGTGACGATCCGGATCGACACGCTCCTGGCGCGCAGACGGGCGCTCTGGCAGATTGCCTTTAAAACTCGCTTTACTAGAACCGGAGGTACCGTTTAGACGACGGCTCTTTCTAGAAAAACATACGACCGTTTCTGTTCGTCCGTATTCCAGTCGTTCGCATGCACACGCTTTGTTCGGCTCTCGGACGCGACTGGTTATGGAGCGTGTAACCGTTTGAATTATAAAAGAAAACACATTAACCGAAAAAAGTATAAAAATTCTCGTTGACGGTAGAAAAATTGTGTGAGAATTCTTCTCAAAAAATTGATACCCGATGTATAAATTGTCTTTTATATTTACGTTTTATTTCTGGAAACATGTATATATAACATATTTCTCTTGGCACTTCAATCCGCATTTTATTGATTTTACAAGAGAATGCAGGCTCTCGCCTAGGTAACGAAGTTCTCGCTCGGTGAACTAAGTGTATGGTTATAGAATATATAGATGGTACTGTATTTCCGAGTGAAATAGAAATACTATTTCGAGCTGATTGCGATGAGCGAACAATTTTGCGTGAACGCAAATAGTACAAAGTGTGTACACACTCGCGTATATCTCTCGATATCTCATTATTGTGTCTTTCAAATTTTTCAGTTTGATTTTAATCAAATCGTTTTGCTTCACGACGAATCTCTTTCTTTTAAAAGAATAAATGATAAAATTGATACCTTCAAGATCTTATATAAAAGAGCACAGAACTATATTGGTTACGTTCAAGAAAACACAGTTGCACGATTGAGAAATTATCACTGTTTGTGACAGGCTATACTATTTCTCAAAATCTATCGCGCGATTCCAAAAGTGTTATCCAATCACAAGATAATCTCTCAATCGCGCAACTGTGTTGCGTTTTATGAACGTAACCAATATCTTAAGCAAATTTGATCAACGAATGAAGTAAGTTCTGGGAACACAACGCTCGATTGTAATCGGCGTTGAATGATCACTTCCTGCTCAACTTTTTTTGCTTATATATCTTTTTTTCTCTTATCGTTCGTGCTACGGGAGTTGGTGTGAACACTGCGTGTCACCCGAGAAGAAGTTCCAGATCAGCTTGAATTTGCACTAGGCTTGCGTCATTGTTGATTTTACCGAGCGACGTTTTAGGCTCGGTTCACGCGTGCTTCGCATTTATAGAGAGAAATTCTTTCCGAGATTGCAGAAATACAATAAGACGGGTTTTGTTTTATTTTCCAAAGAAATTTAATGATAGAAACTGAATCTTTTTCTTACAACAGAAAGAAGTTCGATAACCGAGTTTTTCGATAAAAACAATTGTATTCTCGAAGTGTTGGTGGAATCATTCGGTGTTACTGAAACGTCCTGCATGCATACGATCAAAGCGGTGTGTTCCAGTTTCTAATTCGGCGAATAGCGGGTCGTTCGTTTCTTCGTGCACGCTCGACAGTTAAAACGATGTACTCGTGCTGAATTCGATATTGCGGTATGCTATTGCTGCGCAATGTTGCGATCAATACGAGACCTTTTCATCGTTGGTTTCTTTGCTTGATAGCTGTGCATTAATCCGCCGCCACCGTCGTCATCGTCGTCTTGATGCGGTCCTGACCAGTACGTCCGGTACATTCGCGGCGAATCGGTAATATTATTTTCAAGCAGAATAATAAATCAACGTGCAAAATAATGTAATTATCGTAAAAAAACACTTATACGCATGTTACTTCGATTTTGCATATAAATGTTCTGGAAATATTTATTACCATGAAAAAAATTTGTAAATGACGTTTATACAAAGATGGTTAACGTTCTATAAAAATTATCGGCTATAAGGCACCCGAGTCGAAATTTTGATGCTACTTTCAAACTTTTGAAGATACTTTGAACCTATTTAACTGACCAATATACTTATTTAAACCTACTTTGACACTTATATTCACTTACTCCTCTTTTGAACCTTTAATTCTATAAATTTTACGTTACTCCTATTTTGAACCTACAAAACCTACCTCTCGATATTTTGGTGATTGAACATTTTTTAACATAAATGTAATATAAAATATATTTGATAAATATTTTTATCTATTGTTGCAGATACATT